AAAATATCAAATTCTCTCAAAGAACTTCGACTAATATTTCGTTCTACGGACCAGTGCAGTGGCGTTTGGTATATTATGATCCTTTTTTAAATGCTTCATTATGCGGTCTAGAGTTATGATTTGCCAATTGATTGATCTATTTGTATGAACCTCTTATTTATTATTTTATTTTAAGGCTGGCGTTTTATAAACAAGAAATCGCACATTTAGTAAGACAATGATAGAACAAGAGATCTATACAGGGATGGCCAGAAGTACGGAATAAAATTCATATCTTCTGAATGAGTTAATTTTTTTTTAAAACGCCGAAACACGTTAACTGATTTTGATTTTTTCCCCTCTTTCGGTTATATAATAATTAATTTTTCTTCAGTCCCCTAACCCCCAGCTACCCCTACTTTTTTTTTCAAATGGAAACATAAGGCATGGGGGGGCTCGTTGAAAAACTTATAGAAAACTGAATCCAGCCATACCAAATAAACAAGTTTTATTTTTTCAATAGCAAGTTTTTTTTTTCTGGCCATCCATGTATAATAAAAATGTTGAAAAACAAGGATTGGGGGATGTGATTGTGTGTATAGTTCCGTACGAGATTTTCTGTGTATTCAACANAAACAAGGATTGGGGGATGTGATTGTGTGTATAGTTCCGTACGAGATTTTCTGTGTATTCAAGATGCGTGTAAATTTCAGAAAATGTATCTAATGATAAACATAAGAAGTTTAAAATAAAATATTATTTTCTAAGGTAAAGCGTTCAAGTCCACTGGAAGAAATTACATTACTTCTAAACATTCATAATCAATTTTACCCCCAAAAGAATAAAAAATTTCATTCAGACCTAGTTCCTAAAATACTATTCTTCTAATAAAGAATATTGTTTTTTTGAAACAGCAATTCGGTTTTCCTTTTTACTTAAAATTTACCAACTTTAAGACGTCTACAAAAACAGTTTATATGGAGGATAGTTCAAAAATCCAATGGATATCTTTAAAAAATGAATGCTCATAGAACATTAGAAAAAGGAATGCAATTTCTATAAGCACGTTCACTGACCCATGGCTAGTTAGACATCATTTTGTTGTACTTACTTCATACCCTTATAATCTACACAAATTAGATATATCAATTTCTAATTGTCTTTCCAAAAACGAAGAAAAAGCTGACACTTGTGGGAACTTTCGTTTCTCAAAATCTGTCAAAGAATACACTCCTGAATTTTCAACATGCATTGGATATGCAGGTAAATTATAAAATCAATTACAATTCTATTTAAAACCAATGCTACTACTACTAAGAAATACCGCGTATAATATTTAATTATTCATTATCGATACATGTGCGCTGTTTGGTGGAGGGCAGAGGAGGGGAAGCTGAGATCTCAGTTAAATAAAGCACTGCTAATATATTCTGATATTTATAATTTGCCCTCCTCCCCTTGCGTTGCAGGTTAACGGCGCCTATGAGTAATATTCAATTCAGTAATGACGAACGTTTAGTGAATGTAACTGTTATTTTTCAAATTATTCTTGGTTTGTGTACGTACATATACACAAATACCAAAATGTATCGCAATTTATAGTTGTGTTGCAACATAAGAATGAAAAGTCCTCAAAATCAATGTCCATAAATATAGAAAGAATTAAATTTATACCTTTTTAGATTTAGTAGATTAGATACAGAACGCTATGCTTTTTCAAATATCCAACCATGTGTTAATGACGTTTCCTTGCTGTCGCTATTTATACCGAATCCTGAACTCGACGGCATGATTTATACAAAAATAACTTTTACTCGACTCGGAGCAGAATCAATGTCAATGTTTCCGAGCATGTTACAGCATCGATGTATATCCGTTACCATTTCCTTTCAGAGCACCAGAACTGGTTTGGGATGGACGAGCAGCTCGGACCCGTGGCTATATCGATACGAAGAGAAAAAGTCATACATCCCGAGAGTCAGATGACGACCAGTCTTATGCAATATCAGTATAGGTATGTGGTCATATGCAACTCAAACCTACAGGGTTGCGACATTTAAACGGATTTGGTACTGTTGATCATGTTTACACTTTAAGAGTAAGGCTTGTCTTTCGTTAGATAAGGGTCCAATAAATGGGGTTTTCTATTGGTGATTCAAACGAAAAATTCGCTTGTTTACCATTTTTCCCATTTACCACCTCCATTTTTAGAAAATAAGGCAGACAAAACATAACCTTATAATTTGTTCGAATTCATATTATTTTGTACATCATTAACACGTTGATGTTATTGGTAGCTTTTATCTATTTGCATAATTGTTTTAGCTATTTGTGAATAATAGAAGATATAGAGTCTAAAGTGGACCAGTGGAAAACATTAGCAGCACTGAACATCGTTAACGTAAATTGAGGTGTCTTTTTAAAATTGGAAAATATATTTGTTTCGTTTTTTTTTTTATTAAATTATATATTTTTATTAGGTACATATATTATTTTTCATCTCCAAATTTAAAAGAAAGGATGTAGGTCTTAAATGTTTAGTTAAATAGCTAAATGTCTAACACCGTTAGATTTGCATCCATGTACACTAAAAAATGTAGTAATTACAGCATTGCTACTTTTTCTTGGACAATTTGCAATTTCTCCAAGATTACCTTTAAATAAAGTAAATATGGCAATCTTGCATAAAGCTCTAGGATGTGTTTACATTTTATCTCCTTTCTTTAATAGCCCAGTAAATGAAATTTGTAATACATGTAAATCAAAAGGTACTTCGTTTCAGATTGAAACTTGGTTTAATCGTTAGTTTAGGCAAAAGGAAATAATATTTCCCAAAAAGTATCGGTTTAAAACAACATGATTATTGTTTAAACAATGATTATAATGTAAAAATGACCAAAAATTGAGTTTTATTATTAAAAAGCGCTCTCCAATAGGAGTTTTTGCTTTTGTTTATACTATAGGTTTTCAAAAACGCTTCATTTGAGACCTGCTAAATTAAAATCCATTAACAATTTGTTTAAATAATTGCAAAAAACCAGCGAAATTTGAATTTGCTGTAAAGAGCATAAATCGTATATTATTTGTTTACGAGTTTTTGCATTTGTTTATTAGAAATATCATTTTTCAATTGCATAAACGCGGTTGTTAGCGTTATAATAAAGGGCCTTATGAGGGCTCATTTGTTTCGTCTTGACTTATATTTTTAATAGCTGTTTTACATTGACAATTTATTGATCTATTAATTCATGAAGTCGCTTCATCAAGAAATTGAACAAGTATAATGCACCAAATCTGCTGTCAAATAACTTCATGAATTTATTCATCAAGTTCTTGACGAATTAGAGCATGTTCTAATTTTCGTCAATTTCTTCGTGAAGTTCGGAAGTACCAACCCAACAGATTTCCAGCCCCAGATCAGTAATGAGGTTATGTTATTGGAATATGTAAATAATTGTGTGGCGTCGTACTAGTTTTGCATTGTTTTTACTGGTTTGTTAGTTACAAACACTAATATTTATATAATATGTGTTAAAACGGTACCGCTGTTGTATCACTACAATTAAGAGTGGAAAGGTGACATTTTTGAAATTTATTTGCTTCTTTGATTCGTTGATAGAACTGATTCATGCGTCAAAAAACTTGACAAAGTCTGTAGCAGTGTAAAACCACACTGTTTACCAATAAATTCGTGAATTAATTCATGAAGAACTTCGTCAATTTATTCATCAAATAAATTGTCAATGTAAAACAGCTATAAGAAATGCAATTGGAAATTGTAATTTTATAGGCTAACCTCCTCAAAACGACGTATAGAACAAATAGTGTAATTTGTTTATAAGGTTTTTCGTTAATAACTTTGGGAAGAATGAATATTTTTTAAAGCTGCTTTGATATACGTAATTAAAAAAAAATTCTTTGGACCTTTTATAGCCGATAGCGTTTTTTTTTTAAATTTATAACTTGTTTATTTATGAACATTAAGATTTGAAATTTCGGGAATAAATCAATCAACCCTAGCAGGTCTCAAATGAAGCGTTGTTTGAAAACCTATAAGTATAAACAAAAACAAAAACTCTTGTTGGAGAGCGCTTTTTAATACAGCTAAAAAACTCCATTTTTGGTAATATTTACATTATAATTGAATCATTGAACAATGATCTTGTTGTTTTTAACCGATACTTTTTGGGAAATATTATTTCTTTTTGCCTAAACTAACGATTAAATCAAGTTTACGAATTTTTTTACAATTATTTTTTCATTTACTGTGTATAAGTACAATTTAATTCTACCACAGGGCAGGACACTCGACTTGAATTGGGAATAGAGAGGTCAGCAGAAAGCTGTATAAATCTATTTTTATTCCAAAGTAATAAATAAGTTCATGTATAAAAAAATAAAATTTACAATCTTTTATTGACGTCATTTTATTTTCATGGGGGCGCATAAAAAATAACTGGTTCGCCATCTTTGGGAGTCCGTCATATCGGATTTAGAATAACCTCAATTAGCTAACCATGCATTGCCATCCAAACTAAACGTGTTTGCAAAATTTCAGCTCAATCGGTTGGGGATAACTGTTTTAAAATTCAGTTGCAAGATTTGACCCATACTAACAAGGCAAGTTAAATAAAAGCAAATAGGGTTTGTTATTACCTATATTAAATCTGTTATGAAAAAAATATAATTATTTAAGAGTTTGAGTTTGCAGAATATGAAAATTACTGCCACAAGAATAACAATTTAACCCTTTTTCTCACTAATAGGCTATTCAAATTTTCAGCTGGAAGATGAAGGCATATTTGGCTTTCATTATTTTAACCTTGTATATCAGTAGTTAATGTTGTTTTGAAGATTGATGAAATTGTTTGCCTATACTATAATACGATATTTCTAAGGTATGTATCGAGTGGAACAATTTTGAAATATTTCTCATATTTCTCGAGGAAATAGACAAAATGTAAAGACCGAAGTTATAACGTTTTGGTCTTGTTTTTCAACAAAAGTTAGAGACAACGAGACCGCATATATTGATTGAATATTGATTCATTTGTAATTTAGGACATTTTTCATTTTTGGTATTTTTTTTTGTCGTATTGATTACTCTTACACTACACTCTTTTATTTGTGAAAATTTTAAATTTTTTTTAAAGAGAACTTTTATTCAGCTTTTTGCATTTATTCCTGTAGCATTATATTTCTACAACTTTTAGCTTTCAGATATTTATTTATAATATTTATATTTAACAGAACACACTATAGACATATTTTTCGATTTTTAAAATTTGATGAAAATTTAATTTCATATGATGCGTGATATGATGATTCATATGATAGTTACACATTTTTTTTTGTAATCAACTGCTTTATGATACAATTAAATAGGTCATGCATGTTTTTTCACGGAGACAAGAGATAGATAATTCATGTTACATTTTGACTTTTAAATAATAATAAATTATGTTGTTAACAAATGAAAAAGTTTTGAGTAATTAGTGTTGCAAGAAAATTTTATAAAGATTAAAAAAATTGCGCAATTGACATATGTACAGGATGCTTCATTAACTTATATAAGTTTGGGTTCAAGTTAAAAATCAAAACTTTTTAAAAAATATTGTAAATGTAAAAAATAAATAAATAAAAAACTTCTTAACATAAATCTAAACTTCACAAAAATGTTATTGGATACTACAAAAATGTCTTTTAATAGAGTCGTTTCCTTGGATGAAATTTTACATAAAATGTACCTAATAAATATCGTACTTAATTGATTTTTTCACTTATTATGTTTCAATGGAATAACCAAAGTGAAAATCTACAATATTCTGAATTTAGTCGTAAGAAAAAATAAGTCAACTGACGAGATAAAATGATTATTTATGCTCTTTCAATGTGGTAGGTACGACAAACAATATTTTTTTCATATAACTTTAAAACTGTCAGAGCTAGTGACTGTATGCATTTTTATTAATATTAATATAATATGTAGCAAAATTACATAGAGGGTGAACATTTTTTGGGCTGTCCGTTCCTCGACTCTCCCATAACTATTTATGTGGAATGTGGAATTTAATTTAAATTTTTTAGTATAAACTATATTTCAGTTAAAAACTTTTTCTCTTGAAATATTTTGATATTTACTATGTATGTCGAGTAAAAAAGATATCTTTGACTTTAAATGTAGTTGTTTGACAATTTGATTGTTATATTTGAAGAATCAATTCTATACATAAAAATAAGAAAAATATTTATAGAAATGGACTTCCTGAATTGTTTTTTGACAGTGCCTGTTGGCTGTTCTGAAAATATCCATATCTTGGGGGGACAATATTTAAACAGCAGTTGTACCATTGGGAAGTATTTTATGTTCATGTCAACTCTTTTTCTTATTTTTTACATATAGAATTGTTCCTTCAAATGTAGAAACACATCAAATTCACAGAAAATATTAAAATTTCGCAAGACAAAAAAAATTTAAAAAAAAAGAAAATTTAATTTAAATAATTACAAGTTTAGTTATTCCAAAAACGTAACACCCCCTATGTAATTTTTTACATATTCTATTAATATATGACATCCAAATAAAGGACGACACATACCAACTAAGATAGACATCTACATGAAACACTTAAGTTATACAGGGTGTTACGAAATTCGCGGACACGGACTCTATGATAATGTTAATCTAGATAAGGTCATAAAAAAATGTCTCTATCATTTTTCAATCAGACCGATATTTTTCGAGATACGGCAGTTTTAAATATTCATAAATAATAAATATTTTCAATTTTTAATAATTCGATAAACAATTATGACAAACGAATTGTTCAAAATTTCTACCACCTGTTGCTAAACATGCTTCAGCACATTGTGCTACAGCTCGAACGGAGTTGCGTACTTACCATCTCTGGTGTTATTTTTTGTATTGTTTGAAACAGACAGCTCTATAACAATTAATGATAATTCAGAAAGCATTTATCAACACTTTGACATCGTTAGAGTACAGTAAAAGTACCTGTCAATACAAAATGCAAAATAATAGGCCACAATTATTCAAATCGTGATTAGTATGATATGCTGATGGCTCTCGGAGCTTCAAATAATCGTGCAGATGAAGCAGTGCGGTTGGTTTGGCAGAGGCAATCCATTTGCTTGGCCACCTCGTTCTCCAGACCTAATGCCATGTGATTTTTTATTTTGGGGCTTCTTAAAAACGTTGGTGTACAGAACACCAGTGGCAAATTTGAATGAATTGCAGAACCGCCTATTTCAATCAATACAGCAAATAACACCAGAGGTGATACGCAACTCCATTAGAGCAGTAGCACAATGTGCTTACGTATGTTTAATAGCAGACGGTAGAAATTTTGAACAATTGTTGTAACTCGTTTGTCGTAATTGTTTATCTAATGATTGAAAATTGAAATTTATAAATATGTATATTTTTATTATTTTTGGATATTTGATACTGCTATATCTTGAAAAATACTGGACTGATTGAAAAATCATAAAGACATTTTTTTATCACCCTATCTAGCTTAATATGATCCCACAATTCGTGTCCGCGAATTTTGTAACACCCTGTATAAACAAATATGTTTTTTTTTTATATTTAAAGGTAAGTTAATCTACATTGACTTACATATTTTGATTCGAGGAATCTCTTGTCTTAAGTTGTCGATGTGTTTGACATACACCCTGTATAAATGTTTGCTCTTAAAGCCTTTATTGACATTCGGTCCTGGCTATGGCCTGTTTGTTTAGTCCTATAATTTTATCTATACCATCTTTACAGATTAGTAATTCGAACCTCTGAATTGCAAACCTTACGGGGCGCTGTCTTAGAGGACGCTATTCCCAACATCAAGGCATCCAGCAACCCCAAAACCCTCAATACCAAAGAAGTTCTCGAATATGTAGCTCCTGAAATCCAACTAAGCTGTCTAAGGCTTGGCGTTCATAATCAGCAGGCGATTGACCAGATTCTCAAGTTGGACGAACAGGGATTGACAAACCATTACAAGGTGGGTATTATGTACTGCAAGGCAGGACAAAACTCGGAGGAGGAGATGTACAATAATGAGGAAGCTGGACCAGCTTTTATTGAGTTTTTGGAGACGATAGGGAAGAAAGTCAGGCTAAGTGGTTTCGATAAGTACAAAGCAGGATTGGATAATAAAAGTAAGTTGAGTATTATTATTATTGAGTATTTTATTAATTGTCATTTTGACATACATGTCTTTAAAATAGTTTGAGTATATAGGTGCAATTCCAGAAATTGATATGTAACGGAAACATGAAAACATTTTCTGCTCATATTTTGAACCTAGCAATGGTTGAAAACCAAAACTGAGTTAAGTACAAAATAAAAAGGAGCAATAATTTTTCCTAAACAGTTGAAGATAGATAGATAGATTTAAGAAATTAGTACAGTAAAAACTAACCAGTGCTATCGAAGTAAAAAAGGGCTTTCAACTTTCTAAAAAAAGTTATTTGACGTAGAAAATTCTTTTACAGATTTGGACAGACCATTTTCAAATAATAATTTTGTGGCCTTTCAATTTTGTGGGTTTTCATAGAAAATTTTCACTTTGTTCATGGTTAAAAATCAAAAAAATATTAGAGTTATCCATTTTTAGTAGCAGATCAGAAGTCAGTTCAGAATAACTTGGAGCTTTGCATAAATTTGCATATTTATGAATGAAAAGTAGCCTGACAAATAGATTTAACATTTCCATATTTATGTACCTCTAATTGTTGAGGGATTAGCGCTAAATAATCGACTTTTATCTATGATCTATGAACTTAAAATATTAAATAATTTAATGGATAATTTAGAATATACATATATTAAAAATCAATATTTATAATTATTTTTCCTTTATAATGTGCAAAATACAAGGCAATATTCTTATGGATGCCAGTACGGTACACCATATTAAAGATCAAGATGTCTTATCATCTGGATATTAAAAATAGGCAAAGATATATACCTATAGGCTTAAGGAGGTTTATCGGGTACATCTAAGTCAAATGAGAGTTTCTGTAGATTCGCTAGTGACTAAAGTAGTAAGCCTTTAGATTTGGCAACCTTGCACTTGGCTGGCCCGCTCGGCTTGCCGTTCGCTCGGCTCGCCGTTCGCTCGCTCACGGTCGATCATTCTGTTTGTTTGGATGTCCAAGCTTGAAATATATATCATATGTCACACCTTCGAATTTTAAATAATACGTTACGTCGAGAACCGCGGCGTTGCCGCTATCACGAATATGGAGTTAAGTTAGTCAACGACAGCAGTTTGAAGGAGAATTATTATAAATTATGTATCTTACAAGTACCTAATCGATTCCTTAGATATCAGTTTCCTATTTAGACAAGTTGCTGTGGAAACTGTCAATTGATGCACATTCTAAGTGGAAAGACCAAAAAAAATTTGCATTCTCATAAGACTTCATACTAAATCGTGAAAAATTATTTTATTAATATCTCCTCTCTTAGGTATCCAAAGTAGTCATAATTTTTTATCCAAGATTTTCTTCATATTAATAAGCTTATATTATTTTTTTTATGAATGCTTTTATCAATTGCATATCAGGTAAACCTCCTTAACTTAGAAAAGAAAGTTCGACAATTTAAAATGGCATAAACAGGTCTAAGTTGTATTTTTCAGTTTTTGATACATTTTAAAATACTTACCATTTTCCAATTTTTTATATTTTTTTCTGATGTCATTGCCATAGTTAGAGAAAAAATAATTTATTTGTTTACAATTTGCCATCAACTTAATTCTAATAAGTAATGTCCTATCTTTTAATATACAGGGTGTTTCAGAAAGACCTCCTGTAAATTCAGAGGGTGATAGTACGACAAAAAATAAGAATTTTTTGTCTTTTGAACTATATGTCTATCTCCTCTTGTTTTCGAGATACAGAGCGACAAAATACAATTTTTTAAATAGAATTTTTACGAAAATTTCCAAACGGCGCGAAATATTTTTATGAAATTTAATATTCTGGGGTTTTTGAGGATGCCAAATACGCTGGTCTAATTATTTTTTGTATATTTCATAGAGGGCGCTAGTTATGCTACATTCCTATTACATTTTAAGTTCTATTATTTTTAAGGTTAGGTTTTTTACCATACGGGCTCCAATTTCTAATGTACAATTTTATTTTCCAAAAATAATGTACTCTTGTTAGAACTTCCTAATGTGAACGATTTTCGAGAAAGAAGACTTTCAATTGAACTCTTACAGTATTACGGTGTATAAAATAAGTGCCTTTTCTCAAAGTAGGCTTATGTCTAAATTTTTTGATGGATGTCTCATAAACAACGCATACGTTCTTAATAATATTTTAAACTCTAATTAACTTTATATCAAAATTTTAGTGATTGTTAGTGACTGTAGTTAGTAATGACTAGTAACAGTCTACTAACTACTTTCAGAAAAAGTCATTTATTTTATACACCACAATACTGTAGGAGTTCAATTGAAAGCCTTCTTTCTCGAAAACCGTCCACATTAGGAGGTTCTAACAAGAGTATATTATTTTTAGAAAATAAAATTGTACATTAGAAATTGGAGCCCGAATGGTAAAAACCCTAACCTTAAAAAAATTAGAACTTAAAATGTAATAGGAATGTAGCATAACTAGCGCCCTCTATGAAATATCCAAAAAATAATTAGACCAGCGTATTTGGCNAAACCGACACGGGCTGTGGAAAACATAGCCCTCCGCACGGCCACCGACGCGCCCTGGTACGTAAGAAACACTGACATATTACGAGACTTACAATACACAAACGCTACACAGACAATAAGACAAATCCCCTCCTCAGGCAAGCCGTTGACTACGTACCCGACGTGACCGACAAATACAAAATACCTAGACACCAACTTTTTGACCCTGGGTGACCACCCCAACGACCCCCCCTGCCCGCTAACATTTTCTGTTTCAGAAGCAGCCAGGGTCAAGAAACGAAGACAACGACACACAACACACACACATACACTCCCCCCCATACCCTCCTTACCCTTCCCCTCCCGCGCTGGGCTAAGGGCCACCTTAGCAAAGCGCATCCCAGGCTGCATAGCCGCACTACCCTACCCAACCATACCACACATAAACATGACACTACCCCCGGGGTTTACACAGACGAGCCGGCGAAGCAAGAAGAGCGCCAGAAGAAAGGGCCCT